TTGCCAAGCAAACTTCTATATTCACAGTTCTCTGGTTTTATATAGTACAAAGACTTATCTTGTATTTGTATCACCCTATTATCAGTTTGTATTTTTTTATATAACCTTATATTATACAAATGCTCTAGACCTCCTAGTCTTGCTAGTATGACTATAGTTACAGATATCCTATTTCAACCAATCGTCAAATACAGTTAGCTATAATATAAGCAGAATTTTTGAATTTTTGTTACTAATAAGATTTGAACTCTTGATTTGCCACTTGGGAGTGACAACTTGACTACTTCGCTATGTTGCTATATCTGAAAAATTAATTTTTATATTATAAATCTTATAATAAATCATAAAAAAATATAAATTTTAATAAGTTATATTGCAAAATTTTAATATAACTACTTTGTATTATAAGTTAAAAATGATCCAAAACTTATACTAAATCTATTTAGATAAAAAAAATTTTTTTAAAAAAATCGTCATTTTTGGCTTTTTTTTAGTGCCTAGCACAAATACAAGTAAAAGTTTTGAATAACTACTATAGTCACTAAATAAATATTTTGAATTGCCATAGATTTTGAGTAATAGTTCTAAACTACCAAGATCATTATTAGATGAAGATACTGGACAACTACCAAAACTATCAGGCAAAGATACTAGAGAATGACTACTGGGTGAAGACACTAGATAAAAAATTATTAGTTAATAATATATCAAAAAAAAGCATTATTGTTATATAGAAGCATAATATACTACTATAATTATTTTGTGTAGATACAGAATTTATAGGTAAAGATATAGGATAACTACTAAGACTATTAGATGAAGGCATAGTATTACTACTGAGACTATTGGATAAAAGTATAGGATGACTACCAAGACTATTGAGTTAGAGCAGTGTCATTTATCACCTGATTATTTTTTATCATAGACTTACCCCTCTTAATATAAAAAAAAATCAGATTCTTATATATAATTTTAACTTTTTTTATCCCCTTCCCCCTAAAAAATCACCTGATTTTTGTCACATTTTTTATGATATATCAAATAATCAAAGCATTATTATTGGACAAAAGTATAATGTAACTATTGAGCAAAGATACTAAACAACCAATGTAACTATTAGATGAAAGTATTAGATAAAAAAAAACTGTTATTAAATAAATACTAAATAATCAAAGCAGTACTATTGTATAAAGCATATAAAATTACTATAGTTATTGGGCGAAGGCATTAAACAACCACCAATTGGATGAAGATGCTA